TTGGTGAACAGAAGAGACTTCTTTAAAAAACATGAAAAATCTTACTGTTCAAAAACTTTTGACTGGTGTATAGGCAACTTTAATTGTTTTCTAATTTCTAGCTTTTAATTGACTTAGAAATCAGATAACTGCTGGACAATAACCAATAATAATGATTTGTTTATATACTACAAACACTTTTTTATCACATAAGGCAGAATAGTTTCTATACTGTAATAAATGCTATGTCAATTAGCACTGCATTGTTCATATACTTTATTTATTACCTGGAGATGACTTGACAAACACAAATAAACCATATATTGTCGCAATCGTATGTTTAATGTCTTCATGTTTCCAAACGTTAGTCCCATTCAGTTACTCCTAATGCTGACCTTTTAATTTGACATTATTACAAAGTGCACTTGTTAAGAAACATAGCCAATGAAAGTGTACTCTCTTAAAGTGCACTTGAGTGACCTTTAGTTTCATTAATTTTATATTATCTGCATGTAAAAATATACTTTTAAGATTTGAGGTACACTACAAGCACACATTCAGTACAACTAAACACACTTCTTTTTCTCAAGTGTTCCCTAGAGTGTGCTGGGAGATTTAGCTGTGTCTGTTCTGTTTAGGAATAAATCATCTGTTGCTTCCTCTGTCTTTCTCCTCAGCCTGCATGCCTTCGTATCATCTTTTATGCACAGCGGTCAGATTCGATACAGTGATTGACCTAGTGTGTAAGACATTAGAGTGCAAGACATTTTAATCAAGAACTTGTTTTCAGTTCTCAGGGTGCTTTTTGTCCACATATGATATATCTTCTGTTAGATTGCTGATCCCATAGCCGCACATAAATCTATATTTACTGTAGGAAGTTTCTGGACAGATATTGACATGCATAATATGTTTAATGATCACTAGTAGCTATAAAAAAATAAAGCATTTCCCTTCTCTCTCTCTCTCTCTCTCTCTCTCTCAACAAGCTCAATAAAAATGACAGTTTTCAGTGAACTGAAATTTTTCAAAGCAGACTCATATGGAGCAGCAAAACAAACAGTAAATTTGACTCAGTCCAAATGATTTAAGTATTTTTTTTTTTGGGTGTCGTGAGTGAAGTTATTATCATTGGGATGTAAATTTGGTTCCCTTTTTTCATATAAATTAGACCCCTTCCCCCCACTCATGTTATCATTTTTAACCATTATCATATTACTGTACATAGGACAGGGGTGTCCAAACTCGGTCCTGGAGGGCCGGTGTCCTGCCCTTTTAGAGTTTAGCTCCAACTTGCCTCAACACATCTTCCTGGAAGTTTCTAGTATGCCTAGTAAGACCTTAAATAGCTGGTTCAGGTGTGTTTAATTGGGGTTGGTGCTAAACTCTGCAGCACACCGGCCCTCCAGGACTGAGTTTAGACACCCCTGACATAGGAAATAATCATTAACCCAAAATTTCACTTTATTAACTGTATATTGCACACCTGAAAAAATATGTGTGAAAGCACAATAGAAAGCCGCTGTTGTAATTACGCTGCTACTTCGCTTCCTGTATAACAGGAAGGGCCAGAGAGAGGGTGGAAAATTATCATGGACAATTAAACTATCATTGTTTTTGGCGCAAAACAACTTTGGCTAACATTATAAGTGAACCAGAAACTGATTTCTTTGGCAGCACACTGAATGTTTTTTAGTTAACACTGATTAAAATACACTCTGTCAGCATTTACAATCAAAATCGTTTACAGCTGTTACTGCTTCTCAGCATGTTTTGTTAGATGGTAGACTTAAGATTGGATTGGCCACACTGAGTAAATATTTTACCATATGTCTTAACTGTTGATCCTGACTCATCAATTGATGCTCTTTGAGAGAAAATTACATGACCTATGTATGCACTGTCTCATTATACTGTATGGGTGTCTATAAATGTCTTTCAGTATAGTTAAGTTCTCCTGTTACCTGACCGAACTGGATCTTGGTGAGAATCACATCGGAGAGGATGGTGGGAAAGTGCTTTTAGAGGCCGTGGGAGAGAGACAAGCAGGTATAGATTTATAGAAATATGGAAATAAGACTTTAGTAATGCAGCGGTGACCTCGTGCAAAGATGTGGAATAACGTTTTGAAGTTATAAAATGTGAAGTTACTCATATTCTGAGATCAAAACTGTGTCCAACTTAAGTGGATGACAGTTTGGGTAAAATGAGATTGTAAATCATTTTTCCATCTTTTTGACAGCTAAACTATCTCCAATAAAAATTCAGGTGTCAACACGCATGTCCGCAGAAACATTCAGTGCCATTTTGAAAAGTGCAAAGGAGCTTAAATCTGGGAAAAAGAGAAGAAAGACAAAGGTGCCGTATAAGATTTTGTGATGCTATAATGTGACATCTGTAAACAAATGATACTAGAGCTTTTCTCAGAAATAACTTCTATTTCTGAGTTATTTTTGCTAAATGTTTCTAGTCACAAGGCATTTTGGGGACACTAGTTTCTTAAAATTTCATGAAAATGTAATTGAATTCATAAAAGTATGAATTTCTGTCTGACACAATGCTCATAACTGTCTTCTTTGATCATTTCTAAAGGGGAAAACAAAGTAGATCGTCCATCTGGAGGCTATTGAAAGGATATTACTGGTTTGCACAAGAATGTTTTTCCAGTCTGTTCCGCCATATTTTCAGTTTGTCACCAGTTTTTTTTTTTTTTAGAAATCATCATCTTTTTATGTGGACTGAATTGTGTTTGACAACAGCCGTGCACCAAATGTGACCGCACAGCAGACTCCCAGATTATGAACCACTTATTTGTCAGCGGTGCACTAGCAGGGCTTCTGGATCGAATCTTATTTTATGTCACTCCATTGGGAGCTTGATATGGCATGAGGATGTTTGTTCTTCTTTGTCCCTTAAAGTACATACTTGCTAAGAATGTGTTTTTCGTAACAGTTTAATACATGAAATGTTTATACTTTATAGAATAATGTGAAAGACAGTTAGCATTTATTTGTGTTTTTCTGTGTACCTGGAGAGCAGACTAGATACAGTATGCTTTCTGGTAAATTTGGTTTTGTCTCCACCCTACGGCCAAGAATGATACTTGCACTGTATCGCGTTCATTTATATTGATTTAGAAATTAAGCCGTTTTCCTTCTACATCACAAAATAATGCGAATCCAAAGATGAAATTTGACTACATAATGTACAATTTCTCTTGTCTAGATCGCATTGTGCTTGATTGTATGGCTCCAAATGTTGCAAAATAATGGTGTAAAATAAAATTGACCATGAAATGAACAAGCAAAATGAATCAAAAAGCAAAATGAAAATAATCTGTTTAAAAAAATGCCAAAACTATAATTTAACAATTTCTTTGAACCCAATATAGACCTACACTTCACTTATATTAAACTTTACTTGGATTACTTTTTCTAAAACATGACTTAGGCTAAGCCTTTATAACACAACTGTATTCATTGTGACGGTAACACTTTAGTTGAAGGGGTGTGCATAAGACTGACATGGCACCTTCATAATCATGACATGACACATGTCATGAATATGAAGGAGGTTTTATGCATGTTTATGACAACTGTCATTAAGTGTCATTCGCTCAGTTATGTCATTTTTAATGCAAATATGACATTATTTGACCTAACCCTAACCTAACCCTACCCCTACCCTTACCCCTAACCATAGCCCTTAACAAAGACATCTCAAACAATGTCGTATTTGCATTAAAAATGACATAACTGAGCGAATGACACTTAATGACAGTTGTCATAAACATGCATAAAACCTCCTTCATATTCATGACATGTTTCATGTCATGATTATGAAGGTGTCATGTCAGTCTTATGCACACCCCTTCAAGTAAAGTGTAACCATTGTTCCTGATTTAATTATATTAAAAAAAAACTTTTATTATATTTTATTGTTTAAATCTTTTAAATAAGAATTATCAATCTGAAAATGTACTACACATTTTAAATAAACGTTCGTTTGTGTTCACTACAATGGTTTTCCATAAAAAGTAGTCAGAATTAAATGCATGCATTTTAATTTGATTAGATTACCTGCTATAGGCGACTATAAATTCATAATATTGTCATGTTTTCCATGGTTGTAATTATTTAAGGAAATCATAAGACAATCATAAGACACTGTATTTAGTAAAAATGGTATAAGGTATAAACTTATTCAGTATTTATATGAATGACATGAGAGTTATTCCCAAAGAAAGAGAGAGTTTTAGGCTTGAGCCTCATGTTGTGTGGTTAATTTGACCTGAAGTCGGAGATGATTTTTCCTCTCAAAAATGTTAATGTTATCACATTGAACAAAAACGTACTGACTTTAATTCATTCAGGGTATAACTACATGCCTTTTAGGTTTTTTTTTTTTTTTTTATAATATTTGTACTTTTGGTGGATTTTCCCCCACCTATGTTACACTGGTGTATAATAAACAAAACAAAAAAACAAAATAATAAATAAATAAATATATTAATTAATTAATTAATTAATTAATTAACAACAATAATAATATTAAATAAAACAAAATGAAATTTAAAAAAAAATTTAAAAATTTTTTTTTTTAAACTGTCCTAACTGAAAGAAAAAAAACAATTTACAAAGATTTTTAAAAGGCCACCAAACCAAAGGTGTTATAGGGTTTTCAACACAGCACGAGCGTTAAGTCGCTTAATGCAATGTCAATAAAATAGTAGCAATATGTATAAATAATCTAGAATAAATTTAACTTAAAAACATGACACGCCGTCTCTTTCCGCTGAAAAATCATTGTTTTGTCCTCCGGCACGAGGAGACGCTGTGATTTATCTGAGCAGCGCTAACCGGAGGTCACGCATGCGCACAAACTACTGTTCCTAGACATGTCGACGGAGTGGAAGGGGACTGTTATCCTTTATCCCTTACCTTTATAGCTATCTCTACAGCCTTTACCATACAGCTACGGTATCTTTATAATGGATCTGGAAGGTGGCACCTACGAACCTGGTTTTGTGGGCATCAGGTTCTGTCAGGAGTGGTGAGTGTAGATGAGTTTGCTGGATAGTGGCTCAAACTCGTGTGTGTTTGTTTTGAAGGCAGTAGCCGGTCTCATATGAATCTTTCTGTTTTTACAGTAATAACATGCTGTATCCTAAAGAGGATAAAGAAAACCGCATCTTGCTCTATGCTGTAAGTTATTTTTGCCAAATCTATGTGCATGAGTTGTCCTTTTAGACCATGTGAGAGAGTTCAATCAATGTTTATAGCGTGTTTATGCATTGACTTATGATTACAGTTAGTAGATCTAATTAACAGATGTGATCTGACATGCATATGACTTGTTATGATTACAGTCGAGCATTAAGCTGATAGTTGTTAAAAGTGATTTAACAGTGTTCTATATAACTTGATTTGTATTATTGGACAGAACAATCCCTTATTTGTGTTCATGTATGTTTTCAGTGCAGAAATTGTGACTATCAACAAGAAGCCGATAACAGCTGCATCTATGTGAACAAAATCACCCATGAGGTTGAGTGAGTATCTTACTGTTTTGTCTACTGAGAGGCGATGCATTAGTTTGAGGTAAAAATGCAAGGTGTCACCCAGACTAACATGTCTGTAGAATGACTTTCTGCTGTAAATGTTACGTTACATAACATTGTTTACAAGCTGTTAATTGATATCTTTCCGCGGTTGAAATGATGATTACGACACGTGATACATTTCAGTAAGTTGTGCTGTATCTTTTAATATGCCATCTGATGTTCGTTCATGTTTTTTTCATACTATAGCAAGTAGTAAAGAGGACAAAGATAAAGCTATCTGTCATGCCAGAAAGCTAATTAAAGAGCGTCGAAATGACATTTATTGTTTGAATTATGTGATCAAATTGACTGAATTTGTAACCTTTTACTTTGTTTCATAACAAAAGTACAAAGCACAAAGCTCACTGCTATTATTAGAAGTACAAGTAATGTTTAGTGAAGTTTTGTTCACGCATCAACAGAAAACAGCACAGGCTAAAAGACTGATGCTTGGGATTTAAGATTCAGTTCATCAAAATTAAGATCAATTAATCAATTTTTATCAACCCAGCCCTAATAAAAAAAATATTATATATATATTCATAAATGTTCTACCTACCACCATTAACTTTGGCTGGATTATTTTATATTGTTTATTGGTTGAAGAGGTTTTTCTAGACACCTCTAACCTAGTCCCTCTTCTCCGCCAGTGAACTCACTCAGATTATTGCAGACGTGGCTCAAGATCCAACACTGCCTCGGACGGAGGACCACCCTTGCCCAAAGTAAGAGTTAGAGTTGTTTCTTGATGTAGCTATATATTAATGATGGTATTAATGTGATTCCCTTAAGCTCATGATGGTCCATTTCATAATGAATGTGTGATTTTAGGTGTGGCCACAAGGAGGCGGTGTTCTTCCAGTCTCACAGTATGAAGGCTGAGGTAATGACACGCACAATCACTGTTTACTACTGCTCTTCAGCACTTTCAGATCCGTGTGTCTTAATAACTGCACTAAAAATATATATTTTCAAACAGTTTTCACTCAGAAATTGCTAGTAAACACACTGAATTAAACATGACATTTTGAAGGAGACAGACTGAAATCGCATTTGCTTGTAAAATGTACTCCAATAATTATTTATATCTTCAAAAAATATTTTTACAGTGTGTTTGTTGAACACTGTTCTCCTCTACTAACGGTAACTCTCATGCACATTATACATTGTATCCACGTGACAGATTTTGTGACTGGTACTAAGTGTGATTGAAATGGTAAAAAAGGTCTTTATTTTGACTTTAAATATTTTAAATAAAATAAATTCCTGTATGTGGTTTTTTTTATTACAGCAATATCATAAATACTATCTAGGATAAAACTGAACTTTGTGTTTTGGTTTTCTGAATGCAGGATGCCATGAGGCTTTACTATGTCTGCACCGCCCCACACTGCGGCCACAGATGGACAGAATGAGGATAAAGTCATTATTGTTCCATTCCTGAACATTATTTCTCAGTTTATGGGACGTCTGTTGTGGAGTGGACGTGTTTTGTCGGTGACCCAACTGTAGGTCATTGATGCAATGTGAATAAACTGGTGTTTAATTTTAGTTGTGAATTTTAGTGTGAGATTCATGCGCAAACACCAGCGACTCGTCCTTTGACGCAGTGTTCATAGTTTTTCATTTTAATTCTACACGGTGTATTTTTTTTTGGAAGGTTTGTAATAAAAGATTACAAAAAATAAGTTGAGTTTTTATTTTGAAAATTTGTCGTTTTGAGTTTGGATTCTGGGTACAGTTTTTATTCCATGGTGGCTTAGAGTAGGGCTGCACAGTTAATTGAAATAAAACCAAAATGTGATATGACTTTGTGTGATTATCAAAATTGCGATTTAATTCATTAAATATGAGCTGAGTGTTTCAGAGTGAAGCGCAACACCGTGTTCTTTTTGCACACAAGCAGCTCATCATCTGTTGTTTTCAGCTCGGTTCAAATTAAATGCTACTTCACACAAACTCTGAAACTCATCTCTGCATCTGCTCTGAGTTTGGGTCGCTTTTAATGTGCACTTGGGAATGCAACCAATGCTCCGTGCAGCAACCAACCTCACAAACTTGTAATGAGAAGAGCTTATAAGTTTGCTATTGTTAAAACAAGAGAAGAGTTAAGGGCTCTCCGGTTTCCTGTCAGAACAAAAGCTTGATGGTTCAACATTTGGAAAGGAAGAAATGAAGACAGCCATAAATATTTGTTTGTAATTTTACAGTTGTACTGTAAAAATAATTGTTCTTAAATACTCGTTTTGAATTATCACAGTGAAATGTTAAGATTTTTTTTTTAATATTTGCATTTAGTAATAAAAACAATTGTTTTATAGTTCTATTAATAGTATATAATCGTCAAAAGTTTGACTATATTGTACAGCCGAACAAATAAGCACAGCAAACCTGTAGCAATTTTTTTCGCAATTTTTATCAGAAAAAACGCAATTAAATTACATTTCTCTCAGTTGTGTGTGGAGAGTATAAAGTGAAAACCCGGACTGGATTTGGCGTTGAGTGACTACGGAATGCTTTAAAAACTGTCGGTCCGCTCCAGTCATATAAGCTGCTCCTGGCCGGCTTTCAGTCTGTTGCTTGACACGCAGAGCCCAGAGTTTCCGAGTCCTCCTGGAAAGTTTGTAAAAGGCGTAATGACAACGTCTGGTCAAATGTTTCTCAGACGTAAGATACTCTGTTTTAATGTCTTGTTACACTCTAAAAAATGCTGGGTTAAATATAACCCAACGCTGGGTTAAAAAGAGACAAACCCAGCTATCGGGTTGTTTTGACCCAGCTATCGGGTTGTTTTGACTCAGCGGTTGGGTTGTTTTGAACCCAACCGCTGGGTCAAAACAACCCAATGGGTTGTTTTGACCCAGCTATTGGGTTGTTTTGACCCAGTGGTTGGGTTGTTTTGAACCCAACCGCTGGGTCAAAACAACCCAATAGCTGGGTTTGTCCCTGCATAAAACAATTTCACCCTAGCAATCATGCTGTAGTTCTGAAAATCAGCAAGGCTCTGCCTCTGGCTCAATGCAATCACAGTACAAATTAATTTATCATCAACAAGAGAATATTCACAAGGTTTTACTTTTTTCCACTGTACTTAGAGAAGTGGTTGTGCAACTGCACGAAACGTTAATGCAAGTGACCGCCACTTTTTATGTTAAGCAACTCTGCCAAGCTGTTACTTCTGTTATTTTTGCAATGGTAAAATATCGCCTATTCATAGTGGCATTTCCATTATGATATATAAAAAGCCCGTGCAGTATAGAATTTCTTCATTTCTGCCTGTAGGACCCACGAACTGAATTTCTGCACGAGACAGGAAAGTACGCGGAAGCTCAACATATTAGTCCCTCCCAGCCATTCAGGGCTATTAAACGCTTGCAAGTCATGTACATTCGCCGGGAATATGAACGGACACACACCTGGAGAGCCCGTGAATATGAACGCAGGTAAAAGCAACCGTCCACAAGCGATCGAGCGCATAGCCTATATGAAGTGTCTAGAATGTTTATCTGATCGCACTGTTGTTTCGCAGTAGCTGTAGTGTGTCGTCGTGCTTGGAACGCCGTGTAACCTCGGGACAGGACAGAGATGAAGAGTCCCGCACAGACTGTGATCATTCACCACACAGCGCTCCGGAACTGCGACAGCATCTCTCAGCTCGCTCACATCCAACACATGCACATGCAAGAGCGGGGCTTCGACGATATCGGTTACAAGTAAGATAACAAAACACTACATTTAATATCGGACCGTTCTTTATATCACAGTGTAATTAAGCTCTTAATACAGTTTGTAATTATTTTGCAAGAAATGCTTGTAGATAAACTTTCTTTGCGTAAAAGGGTAATTCAATAGTATTGTCTGAATTTTGAATTTCAATATTTTAACATCATGATGACTAGCCTGTATCATTCAGTATCACGGTATATGGATCAGTGACATTGCTCTCTTTTTGTTCAGGTTTGCTTAGTTAATAAAAATACAATGCGATTTAAATAACTAACTAAATAATACCTACTTGAAGGATGTTTTCTATTTCAGTTTCTAAAAAACACAAATGTCTAGGTGGTGTAACTGTAAAAATATATATATTTTTTCTCATTAATAGACAGAACTTCTTTAAGTAATATTGGAACAATGCATTTATTATTATTAGGCCTACTATTAAAACAAATAAAAGCAAAACAGAAGCAGTTCTAATTTAAAATATTATGAATATTCAAAAGCAAAAGTCGTGAGGTGTAACCAGCATATAGGAAGCCATTTTGCTGTCATGTGAAAAAAAAAAACGTAATACAAAAAGTCTGGTGTAGATCCTCAAGACTTTGTCTAAAGGTGTTTTATTCATTTATTTATTCATTAATAATCACATATTTTCATCTTTTTACAAAAAGTCATGATATGTCCTGTTTCAATTCTGCTGACATTACAAGGCTGACTCCAGTTTATACATTACACATCCACTCTGTCTGTCTTACTCCAGCTTTCTGATCTCTGGAGATGGGATGGTGTATGAAGGGCGAGGATGGGGGATTGTAGGGGCCCATGCAAAGGAACACAACTTCAATTCTGTTGGCATCGCGTTCATGGGCAACTTCAACGGTGAGAACGCGTCTACTTCTATCATCACATTAAATTTCATGTTTTAATTATTGTACTTTGTGGTGTTCAAACTATATATTATTTATTGTTCTGTTGTGATGTTTAGTGGGTTTGTAAATAGAAATAGAGATCGTGCATAAGAATTTAATTGTACTTTGGCAATGAAGTAATGACTTGTCTAAATGAAGCAAACTATTCAATACAAATGAACAAAAATACACACATTATAATAAAATGTATCTTTGCCTGTAGATGAAATGCCCAGTTCTGCATCACTGTCTGCTCTGCTGAGATTGCTGCACATTGGAGTGCTTCACGGTCATGTACGGCCCAATGTTGTGCTTGTGGGACACAGAGACGTGGCAAAAACTGAGTGTCCGGGGGAATATTTATACGCTCTACTACCAAAACTAAGAGACCAGTTACAAAACCAATGACCTCTTTTCTATGCATATACGTTGCATTAAATCCCTGCTGTGTGTGTAGCAATGTGTGAATGTGAAAATGTATGATAGGTTTAATTTTGCTCTAAAATTACATGTTGCAGTCTTGTGTGCCTTGTTAAAATCCCTTATTAAAATCTCCTAAAGTAATACTAATGGATTGATTTTTATCAAAATGTGGAACCAATCCTGAAGGGCATAATTAAGAGTCCTACTGGGGAATTAAATTATGAAAAATAGAAAATTCTGTTTATCCAGTAAGAGGATTCATCTTTTTGATTCCTTTAGGATTGGATACAAATGATAATAGAAATCCTATTAACAGTCCTTTATTATTTATGGATGAGAGATATTTTACAGATGATTTCTTTAAAGATTAAACTTCTTGAAATCTCCTAAATCACAATTAAGTTATAATTTATCGATTCTCCATACCGAAAAACCTCACATAGTTCATATGGACTGTACAGTAGCGTGCAATAAATTAGTAATCAGGTGTGGCCATTAGGCGAGGGTGTCAGATTTCCTAAAAAATGAAGAGGTTTGCAAATATGCCTGTCTATTTTTGAAGCCTTTTTGTCCCAGTGACATGTCTATTTGATGTTGTGCATCAATGTCTTTTTATGAGGCACAGTCAATGATCGTCCTTGTGCCTGTGTTTTAATTATTAAACTCATATTTATTGTTACTGTTTCCCCTATTGTATTTCCTCTTTCAGCTAATTTTACATATTAATATTCAATAATATGTATAAATATAATTATTTTACTTTGTCTATTTAGTCATTGCACTTTTACTATTCTACACTCTAAAAAATGCTGGGTTAAATACAACCCAGTGCTGGGTAAAATAGGGACAAACCCAGCGGTTTGGTTAAATGTTTAACCCAACCTTCTGGGTAGTAACCCAACCGCTGGGTCAAAACAACCCAATTGCTGGGTTTGTCCCTATTTTACCCAGCACTGGGTAGTATTTATCCCAGCATTTTTTAGAGTGTGGTGACCATCACACTGTTAGGTTCATATAGGAGAAGATGCAAGCACAGAATCCAAAAATTAAGGGTTCTGAATTACATAACAAAAATGTAAAACTCATTTGCAAATTCTTCTTTCTAATCATTTAAATTGCAGTTAAGTTAATTAATGAAAAAATGACTGGTAACTGTCATCTGAATAGGGAGTTGCTCTTGTTTAATTTGATATAAAAAATCTGCCTTTCGTGTATTTTAACATAAAACTCAATTTCATTTCTACAGTGGGCTAATTTCATGCGCAAATTTAAAACGCGTGTTTTCTACGACGGGATAGATTGTAACAACAGTACTCTCTGTACTTGACGTTAATTTACAGTTTAGGAAGTAGATTTCAAAACAACGTTCATTTGAAGCAGACAAATAAATTATATCAAAGTCTGAAGCACATATAGTTATAGATGTGTTTCAACACTCCCCAGTCCTAAATGTAGGCCTACTTCCTTCATTAGGCTATATCTACTGTGGCCTATATTTTGCCCGATGTGCACGACACGCTCCCTTATGGAGCCGAGGGCATCCTCCAGAGATTAGGGTCCATGTCCATCTTAAGCTGTTTGTTTACTCACATCTCCTAGTGTTGTCGTATATCGGAACCCCAGCATAACGTCTTTTTGCCTCACTCGTTTCTGACAGGCGTTGAGTCAGATGAATGTGTAAACAGAAGGGCGGTCTCAGGTGAGAGGCTTGAGTTTCACCGGCTTCCGAAGTCTTATAATTGAGCCTTCGAGTTAATCGATCAGTCAGAGAGATTGGCTGTGCTGGAAACTTATCAGATCTTTGTTTTGTTTTTGTCGAGCGCTTTTGAAGAATGAACGGGCACTTTCTGGGGGTTTTGGTGCCACTTTGGTTGAACTTTTAAGTTCTGTTGGACACCTTTAGGAGCGTGTTTGTATTGTTAAACATGGAGGAAGTAAAAGCCCCCGTGGGTTTTTTCCACAAGTCTTCATTCAGCATCAGCAGCTTACTGCTCCGACACGAACGAGCGAGAACCGACACAATCACCGCGCTCGAAGCACCGCGCTCTCGCGCCGCAAAGCCACCCGCGCGCTCCATTCTGTCGAATGACGGAAAAGACCAGCCGATTCGAGAGCGGAACGAGTTAGCGACCAGACCGGATAAAAAAGAGGTAGTTGCTGGAGAGCCAAAGTGTGAAGGAACTGGTGGACAGGAGAAGAAGAGTAAACCCGATAAGCCTCCGTTCAGTTATAACGCGCTTATCATGATGGCCATCCGCCAGAGTCCGGAGCGACGGCTCACCCTCAACGGCATCTATGAGTTCATCATGGGCAACTTCCCGTACTACCGAGAAAACAGGCAGGGCTGGCAGAACTCCATCCGACACAACCTGAGCCTTAACAAGTGCTTCGTCAAGGTCCCGCGCCACTACGATGACCCTGGAAAAGGCAACTACTGGATGCTGGACCCGTCCAGTGATGATGTGTTCATCGGCGGAACCACCGGGAAACTCAGGCGCCGGTCTACAGCGGCGTCCCGAGCCAAGCTGGCCATGAAGAGAGGCGCGCGGCTGACCTCCACGTCCACCACCGCCGGACTGGCGTTCGCAGGGTCGTTTTACTGGCCCGTCCCGCCTTTCGTGACCTTCCAGCATCGTCACCCGAACCCCGCGGCTCACCACAAAAACTACGCCGCGTCGGTTCTGTCCCAAAGCTCGCGCCACTTCAGCTCGGTCGGTCCCGCAGCGGAAAGACTCCTTCTCCCGTCCGGCCAAGAGGCAACTTATTATGGAATGGGTTGTGAACAGATGACCTCCGCCTGCTCCTTCGCCACATCTGCCTCTGTGCCTCTGCCTCTCTCTGCGCCCTGCTCTTTTAATTTACTCTCCAATCAGTCCAGTTACTTTTACTCTCATCAGGTGCCTCACACAGCGGGACTGTCACCCTGGTCGCAGGAGGAATCGTACATCTCCAAAACATCTCCTTCTGGACAGTTTTTCCCGGGAAAGCCATCTCCTTCTTCTGAATACATTGGAGGACTATGTACAGACATTCCCAATTATTTTCCTCATTTTAACACAGCCAGCTCCATGCACTGAAAAGCTTGCAATTTGTTTTTCAGCTGTTTGATAAAAAAAGCTTTTTATCTTTTAAATGTATTTCTATTTAAATCTATTTATTATTATTATTATTACACTGTCGGTCAAAAGTTTGGAATAATTAAGGTTCTTTTGTTTTTGAAAAAGTCTTCTACTCAAAAATATAGTAAAAACAGTAATTATGTAGTATTATAGTATTATGAAATATTATTACAATTTAAAATAACTGTTTTCTATTTTGATATTCATTTTAAAATGTAATTTATTCCTGGCAATACTCCATTTATCAGTGTCACATGAACGTTTAGAAATCATCCTAATATGCTGATTTGGTGCTTTTTTTAATCAATTATTATTGGTGCTCAATTGTTAATAATGTTTCTTGTTATTATTATCAATGTTGAAAACGTTGTTTTTGCTGCTTAATATTTTTGTAGCAACCGATACATTTTTTTAGAATTATTTTATGAATAGAAAGTTCAAAGGAACAACATTTATGATATTATGAAATTATGATGATTATGAAATAGAAATAGAAACTTTTGCAACATTATAAATGTCTGCCACTTTTGGCCATTTTAATGTGTCCTTGCTGAATAAAATAATAAATGTTTCTTAAGCAGAAAATCAGCATATTAGAATGATTTCTGAATGATCATGTGACACTGAAGACTGATGAAAATTCAGCTTTGACATCAAGGAAATAAATTGAATTTTACAATATATTCAAATTGTAATAATATTGTACAATATTACTATTTCTACTATATTTTCATCATATAAATGCAAGCCTTGATGAACATAAGAGACAATATATTTTTTTTTAATATATCTTAATTATTCCAATTATTTTGACCTGTAGTGTATTATTACCAAGCAGTTCACGTGCAATATTTTTTATGCATTAGTTTCATGAGAGGCCAAATATTTGTGGCCAAAACAAATACAATTTTCTTTTGCAATTTTCAGCTTCAAAAATCAAAAATAAATTCCACTGGAACAAAACTTCTTACCCAAAGTATTTTAAGCAAATGACGGCAACATGTTGAGCTAAAAACAGTGCACTGAAAAAAAAGGAAGTAGCTAAAGGAAACAATCATGTTTTGTTCTGCTAACCACATATGACTTTTAAAGCATTTTGATGCTATCTTGTTTGAGAACAGGGTTTGTTTGTTTTTTAAGATGGCGCAGAGTAGTTTGGGTGACTTGTATGTAGGATGCAAAAAGATTAACTGCATGATTCTGTCCGGTGTTTTTCCATATGTCAGGTGTCTTCGTGTTCAGCATTTAGAGTCACTCACATAATCCTGACTGTGTGACTATTTCATACAATGAATTAGCTTTACACAGCCTGCAGGCCTTGGCCTGTAATTTTGTCTTGGTCCAAACATGTATCCACTTAAAGGAAATAAATGTTTTGGAGGAACAGACCTTTGTTGTTCATGACAATTAATTTGCCACCTTGGAATTATAAGGTTCTATCTTCATTTGGAGTGGTTTTGTGATATTGAGCATCAAAGTTTTTGCATTCCATAAAATGATAAGTCTCTTTCATACAAGAAAATGACAGGCCCTAAATGTATTCTAAATGTACTACAATATTCACATTTTTGGAACAGGTCAAATGCAGATAGAATCTTCTAATTCTAAAAAATAATTTTCCGCTTAGAATTGTATGGTTCTATCTCGCAAAACATTAACTGAAGCAATCATTTTCAAGAAACACAAACAGTTTACTTATATGTTTAAACCATTAAATTAGTGCTGTAACAATGTATGAGAAAGGTAATTTAATGCTTTCTATTACATTTATTTCATATTATAGGATGAATAATTGTTTTCTTATTCAAGTTAAACATAAAATGCAGTGCTAAATATTTGTCCAGTGCAGACATTACCGCGGGAAGTAGGGGTGCTGGGGGTGCGGTGTTATAAATAAATGAATGAACAATATGTAATACAAAATAAATAATATTCAAGGCTGAGACGTTGTAGTAACAAAGCACAAAGCTGTGATTATTGGGTGGCTTGCGTGCTACAAATAATGAATGGACTTGAAAACTTTAAACAACATTTCCAAGCATTAGCCTATAGCCTACCCTAAATAAAACAGCTTGTGAATAGTCACGATTC